AAGGTGATCATTTTTTTGTGCTAAGTTGCAGTAAGCCGCTTTGAACATCCTGTTATTATTACCTGTTGGCATAATGCTACATTTTGAGAGGTCACGTTAAAAAGTATACAATGCTCAAAGTTTCGAATATGATGTATCTGGCCGCAATCACTGATTAGCTGCTTATTTATGGTTGACGTTAAAATCGTTCTTCTTGGAAAGGTTTAGTTTTCTGACGTTTGACCGCTGACGGAAATACCATTTCGACTCTCCAGTGAGGGATTGCTAATTATGCCTTCGTGAACGGCTGTGACTTTTATTCCTGTGGAACGAATCGTATTTCCAAGTTACTTTGGAGGCTGTTTTATTACTATTTCATGCTAAACATTGCTGTATTTTCTTTACTGGTTATCATTGGGCAGAATGCCCATTGTCAAAACGTACCATTTTTGAGCGCAATTTCGACTAAACGTCTTCAAACTAAAATGGATAAAGGTTCCCTTTGGCCAGTTTTCAAAATTAAGAGACTCTGCTAGAGTAAAGATTTATCAGTCTGTCATTTGCTGTGTGTTGATTTTTCGAGGGTAGTAAGGTTTTTCAGAAAATCGCTCTCGAAAATGACTTTCATACTAAAAATTCCCGATTTTAGTGTATTTTCAAGAGCAAAATGACAATACTTCTACTTCAAAGAAATGGTTCATTTTACTGTAAATTGTAGATACATCTGTAATCTCAAAAAAGCCGTGCGCTGATCGAGAAGCAAGCAATTTTAAGACTTACAGTAATGAGTTTTACGAACTCTTGTGGGCTGATTTTGACCCATTCTTTTCAAATTTAAGACTCCTCGCGTTCAAATTTGCCGCTTTATTGTTATTGAATAATTGTTGACGTCCACGCATTCTGTCCGATGACATACTTTGCATAAAAATGACGAACAATCCAATGTGTTTTTGTGATTGTAAATATTTGAATTGACCGAGTAAAAATCGAAAAATGTGGCACATGATCGGAAAATTGAAAACCTTCATAGTTTGCCCAGAGATACCATATAGTGAAATTAGAAGCGTGGTAAGGTTTTTTTCCCAGACTTGCTTCTTTATCCTAGAAAATCCACGAAAACTGAAACGAGTGTCGGTAGCCGTAAAATGGCGGAAATCAG